AAAAAAACAAAAATTAACAACCATAAATTTTAGATGAAATGACAAAAGCACATAGGTGTTATTATAATCACAATATTGGTTTAACGGTGTAAAAAAATAATATATATAATTCGATTGAACTCWCCAGCAGAACTTCCTGGAAAATTATGAAAAGAAAGTATAGTTTGAGTTAAAAAGCTTTTTTATATTATATCGAAAACCTTGATATATCCTTTGATCCTTACAATATCTTTATACTTGATACAAATTATGACAGGATAAGTCTTTTTTATTTCTAAATAACTACCATATACTAGATTTAAAAAACAGTATTTAAATATTTATTTATAAATTTTTATAAATTTATTTCTAAAGAACAAAATACTGCTAAAATAATAAATTAAAATTAGTAATATAAATAATAATATATGAAAYATATGAATAATTTGAAATTTTAACTTAAAAGTTTCAGAAATACATTTTATATATAAATCTAACTTTATTATAAACGTAAATTCAATGAGCTCAAGATTACTTAATATTTAAATTGAATGAATGGTAATTATTTTTAAACATGGAATTAATAAAACTTCTGAGTTATTAAAATAATAGTTTAGAAATAAATTGTTATTTCAACTGTTATTTATACTGAGATTTTATTAGGAAATGAATAGGTMRRCGAAAGTGTTATTTTTAATTAATTCTGAAAATCTGTTGGCATAGTGTATGATATAAATATGTTAATTGATAATACATTTTTTTTAATAAGAAAAAATTAGTCTTTCTGACGCTTTTTTGCCACAAGTCATCTCAAAATTAAATTTGACATTAATTTAGTTTCTCCTCCAACGCGATTATGTTATAATCTGGTTCCGTAAAAAGCGAAAGAAATGTTAAGAACTAATCATTAATTATGTGTATTGATTTTTTAACGTACGTATTATTATAATCTTTATGACATTAATTTTTAGGAATTTCGCAATGTTGATGATATTTTTTATATGACGTTTTACCGTTTTTCCGTTTTTTTTATAATATACTTAAATATCAGTGGTGGTGTACCTAATATTAAATATTATTATAAATAGACAATATATAAAAAAAAGTATGAAATAAATACAATCTATACTTATGATACAATAAGTATAATAATATGCCATACGTGTAAGATTTATAATACATAATATATAAAAAAAAAAAAACAAGACATACAAATAAATGGACAAACTCTGAGGAGAGAAGCCACCCAACACAAATGATTCTCATCACAGATAGGTTTTTAAAAATAATTTATACATTACATTATACATAAAAAAAAAAAAATGAATATATTTAATTTGTGATTGTTAGATAATTCATATTATGCATCTAACTAATAGCGACTCTATGGAATTTACGTTAAAGTCTTTAATGTGTCTTGAAGATTATTGGGAACACAGTGTATTTCAAGATTTAAATAACAATACTTTAAAAAAATAATTTAAAATATATTATAGTGTTTTAATGATTTCTTTAAAGGAACGTAGTAAGAATATCAGGTTCTCAAAGGCTTGTTATATATTATGATCATTTTGAGTCATTTACTTATGCATCATAGAATCATTAGGTATAGATATTAATTGATACAGTAAAATAAATATTTAAAGATTACACATTTAAAACAACTTGGACAAAATACTTATTCGTTCTTTTTAGTTTTTATTTAAATCATCTATAGAATTCAGATTGTACTAAAAATAATAACGATGTTATAGATTTACAATATGATAAATCGAATAAAAGTTTTTTATTATTAGAGAACAATATAGATTCAAGTTTTAAATTTAAATTTTAAGTTTTATTATGATTTAATGATGGAGATAGTCGTATTTAATCTAAAACGACAGCATAACTGATTCGGAATTGACTTTCCTTTATTTGCGTCAAATCGGAATAAACTCGTTAATCAGTTTCAGAATGACAGCAAAAATCGAATAGTATTTATTTTCTAATAATAAAAAACTTTTATTCGATTTACAATATGATAAATCGAATAAAAGTTTTTTATTATTAGAGAACAATATAGATTCAAGTTTTAAATTTAAATTTTAAGTTTTATTATGATTTAATGATGGAGATAGTCGTATTTAATCTAAAACGACAGCATAACTGATTCGGAATTGACTTTCCTTTATTTGCGTCAAATCGGAATAAACTCGTTAATCAGTTTCAGAATGACAGCAAAAATCGAATAGTATTTATTTTCTAATAATAAAAAACTTTTATTCGATTTACAATATGATAAATCGAATAAAAGTTTTTTATTATTAGAGAACAATATAGATTCAAGTTTTAAATTTAAATTTTAAGTTTTATTATGATTTAATGATGGAGATAGTCGTATTTAATCTAAAACGACAGCATAACTGATTCGGAATTGACTTTCCTTTATTTGCGTCAAATCGGAATAAACTCGTTAATCAGTTTCAGAATGACAGCAAAAATCGAATAGTATTTATTTTCTAATAATAAAAAACTTTTATTCGATTTACAATATGATAAATCGAATAAAAGTTTTTTATTATTAGAGAACAATATAGATTCAAGTTTTAAATTTAAATTTTAAGTTTTATTATGATTTAATGATGGAGATAGTCGTATTTAATCTAAAACGACAGCATAACTGATTCGGAATTGACTTTCCTTTATTTGCGTCAAATCGGAATAAACTCGTTAATCAGTTTCAGAATGACAGCAAAAATCGAATAGTATTTATTTTCTAATAATAAAAAACTTTTATTCGATTTACAATATGATAAATCGAATAAAAGTTTTTTATTATTAGAGAACAATATAGATTCAAGTTTTAAATTTAAATTTTAAGTTTTATTATGATTTAATGATGGAGATAGTCGTATTTAATCTAAAACGACAGCATAACTGATTCGGAATTGACTTTCCTTTATTTGCGTCAAATCGGAATAAACTCGTTAATCAGTTTCAGAATGACAGCAAAAATCGAATAGTATTTATTTTCTAATATACTGAATTTTTCTTTCTTTAGATTATAAGTTTATGGGTCATTTAACTTACTTTGATTTATATTATTGAATTAGTTTGGACTAACGTAATATAATATCCTATTTAAAAGTACTTAATGGGCAATTTATTTAAAAYATATAAAATCTGGACATCTCTAATAAAGTACTTGCACTTAAAATACCGATACTTGTTTCATCTATGAGATAAAATAAAAAAAATAGGTAAGCCGAAATTTTCGTTTTGTTAAATAACAAATAGGAATCCGTTTCCAAATAAATTATTTTTTATGATATTGATTATCATAAATCTAGTAACTATTATTTAAAT